TTTTATATGCCAAACTGGTTTTAATCGATTTACTAATTTGGGTTTAATGTTTATATAAGCATTTTATTATTAAAAATTTCTAAATTCTAATTGATTAATCTATAATCACATGATATGTATAGATATACTTAGTATACAAATAGAAATACTCTACTTTTAAAACCAACTGTATAAAGAAAAAATGTATAATAGAAAGTGAAGTAAAAAAAATAATAAAATAATAAATATGTAATAATATAATAATAGCTAAAAGATATGAATAACTAAAAAGATTTACAATATAAATTATAAATTAGAAAATTAAAAAAAATAAATCAAAATTAATAAAAGAAAATATAAATAGTAATTATAAATAAAAATAAAATATAAAAAAAAATAAATAAAAATAAATAAAATACAGAAAAATTATAAAGATAAAAAATAAATAAAATAAAAAATATAAAATTAATAAAAAAAATATATATAATAAAAAATAGAAAAGAATAATTTAACAAAATAATAAACACAAATAAAAAAGTATATAAGGTGGAGTTAATAGAAATGGAACAAATCTATTAGATAAATTTGTCTTATTTTTATTGACTCCATCCTATATACCTATTGAAAAACTTTAAGATAAACAATATTAAAAGTTAAAGTAATATAAACAATATTGTTAATATTAGCATTAGTTATAAAAGGTTTTTTTTTTTTTTTTATTTTAAGACTGATGTTATCAGTAGCTATCACCTTTATTTGTGTTTTTGGTCAATGCATTATATGTGACTTGTACAAAATAAGTGTGCAACTAGCTATATATATAACTTTTGGTTACTTATTTAAGTAATCTGCCTAAGGGTTCTATACTAGCTGCTATATCTGTAACCTACTAGGAGGGTACCTATTTAAATACTCTGATCTTTATACTACATCCAGATAAGTAATACTTGGTTTCCACACAACTAAGTGCTGTCTAATCCAACATTTAGCTATTCCCTTTTGTACATCTGTTAAGCTGTTAAACATTTCAGAATACATCACCTAACTGTAAGGTTCTAGAGTACCTTCTTGTTAACTACCTATTTACTCTACAAAACATTAACAAGACTAGCCCTTGTAGAGTTCACCCAAACCCTAGCACCTACTTCATAGCATATCTCTAGTACTTATAGTATATCTCTGCTTTGACCTCAGACTCCCAATCCAAATAGTCTGATAGGACTGTGACCTGTTCTTGGTATATCGAGCCAGTCTGATATTCTTTTTTTCTAGTTTAGTTCTGATAGCCTAGTTGGTAGTATCTCTTACCTGAGGTTTTTGCCTGTCTGGCTTCTCTACATTGGTATCTGTTTCCTAGGTCTAGCCTTTACAGTAGTACCATCAAAGATCTGTATTATCTCTTTACTCAGGTCTTTCTAAGTAGGCTCTGGTTTCTTAGTTTTATGGATTTATACAACTATAAGGACTTATCTTAGATTTGCATTACCTGGTACTGATTTGCATTCCTCTGTGTAATCAAGGTTACATGAATGCCCTGTAACCTGCCAGTAGGGTCCAGAATAGACGAGTTAGGTTAGGATTTCTCAAATTCAAAACAAAGCTCGAAAAAAATTTTTGGACCCAATTAAAGCCCAAGCCCAACAAAAAGCTCGTTAAGTGGGCCAGGCCAAGCTTTATTTTAAATTAAGCCTAGGCCCTGCTTGGCTTGCTAATTTATATGCAGTTAAACTTTTATAGAAAAACTTTATATTCACAAGTTGAAATTAAAAATATTACCAATTATTAATATAATTCTTTTTATATATAAGCATGTTTAGTCAAAATTTAAGTTTTGCTCTCTAAGTATGTATTTTTATAAATGCCAAATGAATGTATATATGAAGTGTCAATTGTAAAATGCTAAAAACCTACAAACAAAATCAGGTAATTTAAGTATTTAGAATTTTCAAAAACGCATAAAAGTAATTTGAGCCTTCTATAAGTTTAAAGAGTAAGAAACTGCCAGAACAAGACAGAGAAATAAACAAGATAATATGATACAAGGCCAAAAAGCTATTGAGCTTAGGCAATGCAATATTTTTATAAATCGAATTAGTTCTAATAGTTTTAATATGTTTGAAGTTTATTGTTGAACAATTCATTCATAAATGCTTTATTTCATAATTTTTGCAGAAAATTAACTGTATATTAAAATGATATTTAATAAATACGCAATTCAGCATTTTCAGAGAAGTTTAAAAATAAAATAAAATAAATAAACATATTTTCTTTAGAAGAATTGCCTAAAACCTCTAATGGTAAACTAATCTATTTATTAATAGCTTAAAATAAATATAATTTAAACAAAATGCAACAATAATGTTAATGTAAAATTACTTTAAAAAGGTTATTATTTCAACTTCGATTACATTATAATTGTATTCACCTTTAAAAAGCTTGCCAGCTATTATAATGATCCAGGTTTGGGTTTCTTGGAGTTTTTTTTTATTTTATTTTTATTTTTTTTTATATTTTTTTTTGATTTATATTCCATGACGATAAATTTATTAAATTAGTCTCAGCAAATATTTGAATTCTATAAAAAAAATATCCAAAAAAAAAGAAATTTGAAACATAACCTATTTTTTTCATAAATTTGTGCTGATCAGATAAATTATTATTCTTTTCAATACTTCATATAAAAAAAACCTTATGTTAAAAAAAAGCCTTAAATAAAAAAACTTACAGTTTCAAGTGCACAAAGTATCATTTTTCAATTTGTCTCAGCTTTGTTTCTTTGTATACTTTAGCCAATCTTGTTTACAGATTAACATTTCGACAGTCTCTGGAGCGAGACTTGACTGAGTGTCATCAGTAGTTCTTCCTGCTATACTAAATATCTAAATGATCAATATTATAAAACATATAAGTTAGCTTATATCAGTATGTTAATATTTAATCTGAACCTTTACTTACAGACTCTGATGCTACCGAAGTAATCAGGATAGCAAGAATGTCTCTTGCCATTAAGGAAACAGATGGATACCTCGTTTCATTTTTCTTCTACTAAACTAAAATATCAAATGCTCCTGAACGAGAATGAGAAACAAGCAGATTGGCTAGATATTGTTCAAACTCATTCATATTATTTGTGATATTAATCTGATTATCCTCAAGAAATTGGTCAAAGCCTTGCATAAGTTTGTCTTTCTGCAAAAAAATGTCAGAAAAATCATTATAATATTAAAAGAAACTGTATTTTGCATATATGTCAACTTATAAATCATCGTAGCTCTATATAATAAAATAAGCAAATTAGCAAAAATAATAAAATTTAAAAATTATATACACAAATCACTTTTCTTAACTTTATTTTTATTGAATTTATCTTTTCTTCCACTTCTGCATATGATAAGTATATTTTTTGCTTGAATATATGAGTAAGTAATGACATCTTATAATGAAGATCCATTATTGATGCAATGCAATGCATTTCGCTCATGTCTGCCTAATATTTATCAAACTTTGATTGCATCGATGCTACCATTTGACAAATAAAGGGATTTACATTACTGACATTTTGTTCAATGTGTGTTTTGATTTTTACCAACTTAGCAAGAAAAATATTTGATATCAAATATGTGCTCCCTAAAATGATATTTGTAACTAAATTAAAATTAATAAAGATTAGTATACTTTAGTAAATAAAAAAAACTTCAAAAAACAATAATAATTCATGCACAAGAATATATTATTTGATGAATTGATGTGAAAGATTGTATTATGGACTTTCAATTACCTTTAGAAAGTTAATAATCTAATCATTTAAAAAAAAAAAAAATTATTTAAACTATTAACATTTCCAATTACCTTTATAAAGTGGTTTGAAAAATTTACAAATCTTCTTAGCTTTTTTCTAATCTTCATTAAAGGGCATAATTTCACCAAAATTTGAATCTTGTAATGCAAGATGTTCAAACACTTTTTTGTATGAAATGGTAGACGATAGCATGAGATATACAGAGTTCCACTGGGTAGGTACATCAAGAATTAGTCAAAGGCATGCCATGAGCTCAGCACAACTTCCAATTACTGCATTCTTGAAGTTCTGTTGCCAATGTTGTGAGCCATAAATCTACTTAACACATTCTTTTATTTTGCATATAATATTTCTAACTATTTTGAGACCATCACTGACTATAAGGTTCAGAATATAAGCACAGCACTGTTGATGCAATAAAGTTCCATTAACAATAAGCATATTTTGTTCTTCCAGTTTATACTTTATATTTTTTATTGCAGTGTCATTGCTAGTTGCATTATCTACTGTGATTGTTAATGTTTTTGACATAATATTTCATTCATTAAAACACTTCAAAAGTACTTCACTAATAACAATTTTCATATGTGATGCAAGAATCAATTTAAACTCCAAAACTAACTTTTGAAGTTTCTACTCTTTATTAATAAAATAACATGTTATAATCATATAACCAAGAGTCTGGTTAGATGTCTATAAATCTGTTGTATAACTTAAATGCCCAGAGGTCTTTTGCACTATTATACAGATTTTTTCTTTAAGATCATCAACAATCTTTATACAATCTTCATGTACTATCTTCTTACTTATCAATTTATATTGAGGTTGCAAGTTGTTTACAAATTTTATAAACCCTTCATGCTCAACTATGCTAAATGGATATGAATACCGAATTATCATTTCTATCATATCTTAATAACTTCTTTTTTGGGAAAATTTGAAGGCAACAATGCCTGACTCAGATAATTGAAGCATTTTTTGTAATTTATTAACCTTTAAGTATTTTTTACATTTCATATTTTTTATATAACGAATTAAGGAACTAGTTCCTGTATCATTATCATGTTTCAAAACATTTTTACAATGTACATATTGAACATGATCATCTAACAAATAACATAAAAATCAACTAGTTAACAACATTAACAATTATAACACTTCAAACAAAAAATATTGTACCTTTTTGAGGATCATGTTTAATGAAATAGTCTTCTTTAAAAACCTATGATTGTAAATCATTTCTTTTATGTTTTTTACTAGTAACAGTTGTTTCAGGATCTTCATTAATAGTGGTCACAGTGGTTACTTCAGAACTTATATTAACAGTGGTTGCTTCAGGTCTTTTAGATCTTTTGCTTTTACTAACAGTAGAATGAATACTTTGCGTTTCTAATTATAATGAATGAATGTTAATAAGGCTATTTTTGGAACATAATTTTTTCAGGTATGAATTATCAGTATACCATCATTTATTATTTATCTGTATTTAAAAAAATTGCTTATTAAAATAGAATAATTCAAGTCATTAGCATCCTTTAAATCAATGTGAATTTATAAATACTTATGGGTAATAAAGCAGGATGAATATGTAAATAACTTGTTTAAAAAAATTTTTACCAGCTTTGGTATGTATCATACAATCCTTTTTAAACAAAAAAAAAATTTTCAAACCTATTTCTTGTAATTCTAACACTTTTTTTTATTATTTATTTTTTTTTTTTTTGAAGTTAAGGTGAGGTCATGCCTTAGATCTGTTTATTCGAACATATTGTTACAGTTTGTACAACTTTTTACATTATACA